TGTTGTTGTTGTTGTTGTTGTTGTTGTTGTTGTTGTTGTTGTTGTTGTTGCATTTGAGATTGCATCATTGCCACGGATATGGAGTTTCGGGCTCGTTTGCGCTTCGATTCATCACAAGGACTCGGTGCACCTGGGTGTCGATAAGAGACATGCTTTCGCAGAGCATCCTTGCTGCGTGATACATGTGAACAAACACTGCAAGCGTATCTGCAAATGAAAACAACACATTATGACAAAGTTCATTATCAAAAGCCTTCTTTTCCCATACCTGACATTTTGATGTGTTTCCAGATGAACTCGTAAGTTATATTGATTGCTGAGTTGCTTGTGACATATGAAGCAGGTCGCGTACAATTTGGAATTGGCTTGTTTTGGGTTCAAAGAACAAGCGGCCGGTGTTGTTGCTGTTGTTGTTGGTGTTAGGCTCTTTTTTAATGCACCAGTATCGGGTGTATCACCCAAATTGGTCATGCAATCTTTTGTTCCTTTCAAATCATCGCCATTGCCAAGAGGCATCGCTCCGAAACGATTCGGCATTGCATTAAAACTGGCAACAGTTTTCATATCCAACGGCATCGGCAGCGATAGATTCTGTGGTACCAATGGAAGCTTATTCAAATGATCATGCTGTTCGACCGATAGAGCCCGATCTTTTGACGACGATCTCAAATTTTCAGCAATCTTATCAATTTTCCGTGTGTCTGCCAGTTTGGATTTTCGCCCTTTCGTCTCAATATTCAAAAATGTCTTTGAATTGCCATTTTCATCAAATGGCATCGACTCTTGCGTTTTATGCTCCAGTTGATTAAATCGACATTGATTTTGGTAACGTGAAAAGAGCTCCGCGCTTCGGCTAATTGCGGTCGGTGACAGATTCAACGGGTTTGCCAACATCGATGGACAGAGCTGAAATGTTTTTGCCAACATACTTTCCAGAGGCAACGAAAATTTCGTTGGCGAATTGGCCGGTGGTGATGGTGAAGCGGGAGATACTGCAGCCGGTGGTGGAGTTTGTGATTGTTTTGTGCTTGATTCATTGTCGGTCGATTGATTTTTCTATTATGGACAAAATGAAATGTTATGATTAATGAAATTTTGCTCTTAAAACTGCATTCTTTTTGTGACATGATGAATGTAAAACAATGAAAAGAATTTAAATTATGACATGTAATAATGTTCAACTATTTAAATAAAATTATTTAATTTTAAAAAATGACGAAAAATTGGATCAAGTCCAAATGAGTGCAGAAAACATGTAAAACAGCGTAAAAATCTCTCACCCCATTGATATCAGCCAATCCTTTGATGCCGAGCGTTTCGGCTAGTGATAGCAACGTAGAGATTTGTTCTTCGAAAACATTTACTTCGCCCGAATACATAAAGGTGAGCAATGCGACGATCGAACCAAATGAAGCGCCAGGAATCACAATCACCGGGTGAAATGGTGCGTCGAGTGTGCGAAATAACTCTGAAAAGAATGAGCTACATGCACTCAATACGACACGATGTGCTCGAACTGTACGCCCTTCGGCCGACAGAGTAACATCCGTTAAATGTGATTGATCCAACAGCAGAGGTAATGATGTTAATAGACTTGTCTTTAATTGAAAAAAACAAAAAGAAGAGGAGAGAAAAGAAAAAAAACGAAAACATTACGATCGTAATTGGAATGATTGATGCGCACGTACGCAATTCGCTCCAGATTGTGTTGTTTCAAGTCTAGTTTACAGTTCGTCAGAAGAAAAAAAATCGTGTATTTAATTAAAATGAGATATTTTCGATACCGTCTGTCGATAAAATTCAATTAAGTTTCTGACTATTTATCCAATCCACCGCGAATGAGTTGAAAAACAGCCAAAATGGCATTATCATTGTTTTTTCACACTTAATTGACATAATTTACGTGCTATTTGACGATTGATGGCATTGCCGTATGTATTCACCGCGTTCGCATAACTGTCCAAATATCAAACGGTACTCGAACGTGTCGACCGATATTATTCACTTGGAAACTGCACTATAAATCCGTTTCAGACATTTCAAATGCCCACGTAATTTGAATTCATTTACTTCGTATCGAAAAACACTCGTTCGAACGTAGTTCATCTTCTTTAAATTGGAGTGATTAAGCGAAAAAAAAAAACTCCGCACATCGAACATGAGATTCACCGTTTATTCCGTGTCAAAACAACTCACCTGGTGATTGTGCCATCTCAGGCAGAATTGTTGTGTTAGATTCGGCGGTGTAGGTGATGATTGCTGCGTTGACAAGTGGTTCATCTTCTTCTTTTTCACGGTGTATTTTTTCTATCACTTGTACGCGTGTTCAGTCTTTATGAAGCTTCTTTGAAATTGAACGAAAATTTTGAATCACGGTCACACGATTGGAAGAGCGCCCTTATCTGTAACAAGTAATACACGAGAAGAGAAAAAAAATAATTGAGAACTTCAGTTAGACCAGCAGCACACAATTGAAAAGAAATTCGATCTAGTCAATTCATTAGACCGAAAATCCAACGTCTATTTTTATTTTGAAACAAGGTGAAGTTTTTACTCCGTATTTTCTTTTTCCTTCTAATCCAATAACTCAGAGCCTAATACACACTGTATTGTCATTGTGTGCAGTTTTTCTCTCTTGTTTGTCCTTTATTTCGTAATTCGCAAACGGTGATGTGCCCAGAAATTTTGGTCAATCAAACACTTTTTTCTTACTGTGACAAAGTCAGGAATTCGAGCATTCGCGCGCGCATCGAAAATACAAAACAGCAACAAACAAACAAATACATTCAGTATCCGTAAACGCGGACACAAGATCGTGCAAATGATCACCGGCTGAGCGGTGGAGAGAGCGAGACAGGACAGCTTTAACGAGGAAAAAAAAAACAAAATGAAAGAAGACGGAATGTTTTATTGGGAAGGAGCAAGGCAAATCATAGAACGAAAATTTTATTTTTAATTCGAAAATTCGTAACAATAGCTTGAGCACATTATGCGCTCGCTCACGAAAACCAGCAATTCAATTGCTCAAGACCATTATGTTTTCTTAACTCTTGTTTGCCATTTTGATTTCGCAATTTTGCCACACAAAAAAAAATTAAAATTAAAATACACAGTACGTCAAAGGGACACATTTCGAAAATTGAACTAGGAATGTTTCTTATCAACGAAACAAAGCAATAAAAAGGGTTTAGCACAATTCAGTCCAATCTATCCAGTCAATTTTATATTGCATTCAACCATGCTTGTCACCATATACATTGTTCTCAATGAAATAATCGATCGGTTGATCGATCGATCATCGTTAATGGGTTAACATTCAATTAGAAGTACACGAAGTGTGCGAAATTTGGGCGCGATTGTTCATGGTGCGAGCGCAAGCGAGAAGGGGACAGCTCTGAACTAGGAGACACAGTGTGCCTCTCTCTGTGAAATGTGTGATTAATGCAATTTCCAAATCGTCTAAACTTGCTAGATATTTTTACACATTCACACAACTGGCTATTTGCGCGGCGCAAAAAGGTACAGTCGTTATTTTTATATCACTGCAAATGCATAAACAACACCGTCAGTCATGTGTTC